GATGTACCTCAACCGATCAAGATGTGCGGGGCAAGCCCCCTCGAATCCGTAATATTTTAGCCGCCCTATAATAATGTGCTGGCCTAGTGCCCTACCCCATCGGCTGTTTCTCTACGTGTTTCGTGCATACTCGATGTTAGCCGCATTACTGAGAACCATGGTTGAGGATATTGTCGACTCTGCATGAATGCCCAACACTTCTCCAAAGCAAACACCCCGTCGCTCCGACTGGAACACTCGGATTCTCTCTGGACAATCACAAATGAACTAACAAATGAACGGTCGATGAATTCCCTTCGATGGGGTCTCTGCAGGCGGTTAACCGGACGGGACTAGCCGACAACGTGAAAATGAACCAGGGGTTCTTGGCCGTATCTTTGTTCGAGATCTCTGCAACACACGAACTCTTGCCGCCTTTCTGACGTTTCTCCGGAAATGCCACCCATCCCGCCTCATTCCCTCGCATCGTCCTTTTTTTCTCTTCATGTTGATCCTAGGCCCGACAGCAACTGTTCATGCAGGGCGGCCCGGTCTGTGGCTTTCGAGGTGCCCAGCAACTCCTTCCGAGTCAACAATGTGCGAAATGCGACTTCTCACAATCATGATCTCATCCATCATGATGAGCTGGCAACGCTTTCCAGTGCGGCCCAACTTGGGGGGTTGAATCTACATTTCGGGCATCCTCCACATCCTCCCAGACCCGAAAAACAATTAAACAATAAAAGCTATGACACTGACGCTGTGGCCATGGGCTCCGCTTTTTGGGCAGAGACCACCCACAGCTCTTTTCCCCCCTCATGCAGTCCCTCATGGTTGTTCCAGAAGCCCGCCGTTCCGCCGATATGGTTCAAGTCCATGCGCAAACTAATCTCGGGAGATTATAATGTTTCCGTCTTGCCCTAAAGTACTTCTGCTCAAGTGAGGCAAGCAAGAATGAGAAAAATGAAAAAAAAAAAAGGAAAATCCAGGAAAATCGCACGCAAATCCCCCCCCAAAAATTTAACCCAACGTGGGGTTCTCTGAGTTGTTCACTTTTTCCATCCAATCCGGGTCCAACTTTCTTCCGAAAAAGGGTGTTATTTATTCTGGATCCTAGAAGAATTCGCCAATATCTCCCTGTCTGTCATAGAGCGGGAACTAACTTGGGAACATCCGGCGTGCCCCTCTTCCTTCTATAGCCCTTACGTGCTGTCTAGCGTTTCTTCAAGGGCTGTTTTTTGCTTAGTCGGCGTGCGCCGGGCCGATCCAGGTTGCAGCCTCAAAATGATCCGCATACTCTTCGCCGTTCCTTGACTGGTGGATAAGGAGGGGGGGGATTTGGCTGACGCTGTGCCATGTCCACATCGACATGCATAAACCCCCTCCTCCGTTAGTTTGACGGTTAGGCTCCTGTTTGTTCGAAAATAAAATATTTTAAAAAAAAGATGCCAAAAAAAAGAAATACAGAAATAAATTTCAAAAATACAGAGAGAAAAAAAACCCACGGGGTTTTCTTTCCTGGCCTTGAAGATATGGCCCACTGTTTATATAACTCCCCGCTTCCCATTGTCGTCCTCGTGGGAAGGTTATTGAAAATCACATTTAAGAAGACCTCTAGAGATTCCAAACGGGTCCAATTAAGATCCTGTTCCTTCTATATCTTCTTGTGGTTTTCCCTTGAAGTTCACCTCTTGTTTCTCCTTCGATCTTCATCTTCAATTGGGTTATTCACAGACACCCATATCCTCCCCACTCTTCAATCCCACTTCATATCACCCCAACTGCAAAGCCCAACGGCTCTCCTGCTATCCTATCTTTCTACCAAGCAACAATGTCCTATACCACCAGTCCCCAGGGGAATAGTGCTGGCAGCCGCCCCAGCTGGCAGGACCAGCTCCAGGGTAAGCCATTGGAATGCGTGGTCAAGCCTCAGCAGTCCCAAGTTTCACCTCAAATGACAGGACGGCCCGACTAAACCATCACCAGATCATTGCACACGCACCAAGCTATCTCCTCCTGTCTTCAACATTGTCTCCGATCGGCGAGGTACTTATCCGATTTCCAATCCTCCTCCTCCCCCTCAGTCTTCATCCACCGTCTTCCCATGCTGCAGACCCTGATTATTTTATTTCCCTTCTTACGCTTCGTCTCAACACACACGCACATAGCGTGCCTCTATCCCTGCTATGTGTCTCGTGTGTGGGCATTGCAGGAGGGAGTGGAGTCTTGCAGAAAAAGACAGAGAAAAATGCCCCCCCCCTTCACTTGTACACCGACTTTTAGTTTCCAAGCCTTTGGCAGCAGAAGGCTAATTACTTTTATCTCGGAATTGCAGGAGGTCGTACTGCTTGGTCCAGTACCGTCACCGTTCAGGGCCAGAATATCGCCGCTCGTTACTGGTATGACGGTCAGTTTATCAATAATGCCAAAGAGGACGCCGCCGAGGTTGCCCTCAAGACCCTGAACCAGCAGCCCAGAGCTGCTACCGTCTACCAGGGTCAGCTGTTCCCGCAGGCAACGTCGTCCGGCTATGGTCGCGGAACTGGCGGGTTCTGACCGTGTGTTCTTTAGCTCAAATATTTCCTACTCGTCTTGGGCGGCATTCTCTTCCCTTCTTGTGTTTTTATCAAATTCTTTTGGTTCTTGATTCTGACGTTGATACTGAACCTTGTTGCTCTTAATCTCTGGGTGTGTGGGTGCTTGTTCTGGTTTGTTTTCCACCTGTGAAGGGCCCTCGGGGATCCACAAGTCCTATCCGACACACAAACCCATACATTTGTTGTCGCGTTGCTCTCTTACTTGCATTTCTGACTGCAGGAAAAACCCACATCCCTTCACCGCACTCCTCTCCTCCCACCTCTTTCTCGTGTCGATACCGTTCTCTTCCCGAGCCTCGTTGATGCATGAGCATGCACTGTCCCTCGTCGACCTCTACCTCTTCCCGGTTTCTGCAGGCCCTGCCCACAATGGCTCACTACAATGCAGAGTCCATGTCATGAGCTCTGGTGAGAGGATCACCGGCATCAGAAAGATGGACAAATAATAAAAGAGGAAAATGCACTATGCACCATCCCTGCCCCGGATGGCCACTTCCAGATGCAAGTCACTACCTTGTTTCGGGATTGTGAAACCTCAGCATCAGTTGTGACACACCACACCCGAGATTCCGACGGCTCAGGTACATGATACGGTGTCTGGATGCCATTAGGCCTCGTGTGATGCATCGCGAATCGGACTCTCCTTTGGCTCTTTTCAGCGCCCCTCCCCCCACATACGTGTCTTTTGGGGGTGCACACACGTATTCATTTCAAGAAACATCCACTTACGTTTTTCTGCGGCCAATTATTGTTTCTGTCTCTCCCGATTTGGGTTAATACAGGTCGCCTCTCGCACTTTATTCGTTCCGCTTTTGTTGCGCCGTCTGCCTTGAGACAAGATCGGAATTGGGCTAGATGCTTATTACCATTTGATGAGAGGCGAGAGGCGAGAGACGAGGGTCCCATGCATTGTGCCAAGTGACTGCTGTTTGTCCCTTCGAAGACATATGACTTGTCATGCTCGAGCGGGTTCGACGTCATACCCGGGATAATTTACAATCGTTACTCCCAACTGCGCGGTTCGAATGGCAATCACCTGTTGCATTTGCAATAGATGACACCCCCTGCTGCTTCGTTTCTCCCTGGAGCTATGGACGAATGTGTGTTTGTCTGTGCCACGGTGGATGTGAAGCGACTCGCCTAATCCCAAGCGCGTTGCGACATGGCAAATATGGTGGTGGAAGCTACTTGGAAAAAGGTCACAAGGAGGAGTTATAGGATTATCATGGGACAAAAATTTTCATTTTCCGGGCATCTACTTTGTCTAGAATTTGGGGTTTCATTTTGATTTGATTTACGTTCTGCCTGATTATTCGATGCGTTTTGCCTTGTTTTTTTGTTTTTCTTTCCTGGTTCAGATCGGGTGTCTGCGACTCACAGAGGGAGTTTCTTTGGTATCTGTTGTCTCTTGTTAGGCTGCGTTGGGTTTTGGACGTTCGGACACGGAACTGGACCGGGGTTATCTATTATATTGGGACTGTAATGGTCGGGGTTTGATTTGTATCAGATTGTTCTCTTTTGTCTCTTATTATACTACAGAATATCTATCGACAGCACTTTACGGGTGAATTCTTCTTCTTCTCTTTTACTAATGATAGGTACACTGCTGGAGCCATTGCCGGCTGGAACAGACTCGCCCCTTTCTAGAAAAGGGTGCTGTACATGCTTACCCTCGTTTGAGGTACTATTGATCACCGCGGGTTCTTGCCGCATTGGCCTCCCGTCCGAGCTTACACATCCGCGGGTAGCACAGCGTTGGCCATGTGTCTAGCCAAACATTAATTTCCGATGCATAGCGGCCGAGTTGGGCAGCATTCCAAATGGCCGACGCTGTTCTTGGATAAAATGAATTAAATAAGTTGTATTAAAAGCTGATATTAATATTAATCGCTTGGCGACGCGGAGCATCTAGATATATTTCTACAGTACGTTGTAGACTCGACGTTAGATGTTGGTCAGTTACTTTGGACTGAACCATGGAACGTCGAACTCTAATAACTATCAACTCTAATTGTCTATTTTGACCAACTCATTGCAGGCCTCGAATGAACTCGAGGTGAAAGAAGAGAATCTCAGTATGGATTTTCTTAATAATTAGGGCTAGCGCTATGCTCGGTATGTTGCATATCGCCACATAGAATGCACATTGTACAAACCCTCTGAAGAGTGATCGCCAAGACTCCTGCTTGATCTAGTCGTGACAAAGGTCGATCTGCCATATTTGTACTCAGCCTTCCTCGGGCGGTGGCTATGTCGATCAAATTATACGGGACAGCAAGTACATATACAATGATTTATTTCACCGTCGTAGTCAATCCAACCTATCTCAAACCAAGAAGCACTTTCTAAAATACTTGAGAAATCCAAACCATCACACTGCTATCTGTCCCATTCCAAGCAGATACCTTCCACCCAAATACCACCATGTGTTTCGGCTCATCGCGAAGAGAGCCGCATGACTCACCGCCCCCGCGGCGGCGCATACACCACAGCCCTGACGCCTACAGCCAGTCCGCATACACCAAGGACTACAAGAGAAACAAGCGTCGTGCAGGTCAGAATGCTGGTGCTGCTGGAGGTGGGGATGGTGGAAGTGGAGATGGTGGCGGCGGGTGCGGCTAGATCTAGAGGGTTGGGATGGGCGTGGGATATCTTTATTGATTTAATAGCTGCGATTAATATTGACTACATTACTTTTAGGGTTGATGGGATCTGGAATATGATTTGAATTTGAAAATCTAGGCAACGGGACATTAAACTCAGCCGACATGTACAAATCTTGCACTTTACTCAGTACTCCGTAATCGAGAATTCATACCTAATTTGTCATTAAAAGTTATCTATCTATTTTATGACTCAGATACGTGCAGTCCACCTTAGCTCGTGAGCTGAGTCCTATCGACAGCCACCACAACGCTCCAGCCTTACACATTTAATACGCGAAACTCTTTCCATCTCTTGCCCCGTGTCCACGGCGGTTGCGCCAGCCGTAGTAGAGCCTCAATAGAATGCAACCAGATGTTACAAAGAGAAGCAATGCTGCATTTGTCCAATGGCCGGTCGGATACCCGATCTTTGCTTCGTCGCTTTTGTAGATCCAAACGCCGACGATTTGGCCTGGTGCACCAAATGACACGTTCAGTGCGATTGCGAGTCCTGCGCCGGCCGTTGAGTTTATATTGGAGGATAGCCAGCCTAGCAGAGGTGGGATGCAGGCGAAGGCACCGCTGGCTGCGACTATGAGGCATCCGTATCGGCTCTAGTGTTTGAGTTAGTTTATGACGCTCATTGGCTTGCTGTGCCCTTGGGATGATTGGGTGACTTACTAGATATGCGCTAGCAGGGAGAACTGCGGAGACAAGGAATCCCATTGCCCCGATGAAAGAGAATATGGCTGAATGGAGACCCCGGCTGTAAATGAATATCAGGTAAGTCCTAAGTCCCTTAGTATGTCTCGATATAGAAGACGATTTACCTGTTGAAGTAGTCCGCAGACCAAGCCACGGTTATAGTCACGACATAGGCTACCGCGTATGGAGGCACTGTCATCAGCTGAGCACGGAGATGAGAGTATCCTAGTCCAGCAGTGATGGCAGGCGTGAAAAGAGAAAGACTCGAGAATGGCGTTGAGATGCCGAAGTACACCTTTTATCTAATTAGTCCTCCAGATTGGCAGGGGAAAAGGTATAGAGAACATACCGCATAATGAGCGTACAATCTCCAATCCGTCAGCGTAGCCTTAGCATCCTCCCAAGACATAGCATGGGCAGAACCCTTAGATCCTTCCAAAATCAACCTCTGCGCAGCAAGCTCCTTCTCTTCAGCAGTGAGCCAATTAGCAGTCTCTGGGTAATCCGGCAACACAAACCAGACCACAACAGCAGATGCGCATGATGGAGCGCCCTCAATAATAAACAGCCATCTCCAAGCAGAAAGGCCATGAGCGCCATTCATATGGCCCACACCAAATGCAATAGCCCCACCGAATGCTCCAGCTAGTGTTGCCGAGGCGAGAATCAAGGCTACGCGTATGGATCGCTCGGAGTTGCGGTACCAGAATGTAAGGTAGTATACGAAGCCGGGGAAGAGGCCAGCTTCCATTACGCCGAGGAGAAATCGGAGTCCTGTTACTTGGGAATAGGTGTGGACGCCACCAAGGCCTATTGTTGTTGCACCCCAGGAGAACATGAGGAAGGCGATCCAGCGCTGGTGTTTGTTAATGGAATTGTAATAATGGATAATGTGTTTGGGTTAGACGTACACTTGGACGGAGCTTCTTCAGAAAGTAATTTGATGGTACTTCAAACAGTGCATATGCAATCAGGAATACCATGAGTGCAATTCTTTTGTAGTCAGCGCTTTGGATTCTCTTGGTCAATCAATGTTTGCGACTCACGTGTACTGATACGAAGTCATATTAGTTTCCGAGAGAAGATCATTGTGAGTGTCCGAATTCAAGATTTTGGCATTGCCTAGATATATTAGCTCCAAGTCTATCCGATATTTGGGACCGGAGGCATACCAACGTTAGAGCGATCAAGATAACAAAGCAAGTAGATTGCAGCGCACAAGGGAACGATGCGTAGATCTTGTTTCCAGACCAAGGCCTTCTCGCGTGCATTGAGGGCATCGTCGACAATTTCCGTGCTGGCAAGCTGCACTACTGTCAGTCTTCTCAAGCTCGTATACCATAACACTAGTAGGTTATTATAATAATGGGAGAAGGGAGAAAGATACTTCTGAAGCTTGTTCAACATCTGGCATGTATTTTTCGGTTGCCATTTTTCCAGGACTTAGCCACAATCACACAGAAAAGTCGAAGTTTCAGGAACAAAGAAATCAGAAAAGACCGCAGTCCTTTTTTTCGCCTTCTTTTTTCCCCATGTGATTTAGCTTCCCCGGGCTTTTGTCCCCCGGGTTGTTCCCCGCACTAGGGCTACTCGCAGTTCCTCCGATGCCTCACCGGTATTTCGGTATTGGGGTATTGGGAAATCCGATTTCGGGACTAGATCTAGTGTTCGAAGCGTTGGTTTCTTAGTCTAAAATGATGCTTCGTAGATATTATTTAGGTGAGATTTGATTGGCGTCTCTTGTTTCCCCTAGATCCCCACATCGAAATCTCAGGGACCGTCTAGGACCGATTCCAAAATGAGGCAATACAAGAAGCATTGATAACTAACTAGCGACAAGCAAGAGTTATCATTGGTATTCTTAGTATTGAATAGTCTTGTAAATAATTTGTATTAGTTAGGAAAATACATTATCTGTGAATCATATTCCTCCGACAAAACTAAGGTAAAATATCTCCCACGATAGATCAGTGCATTGAAGAACTTCTCATACAAATAAGTTGAAATACTTGCATAGAGCGCGTGTTGTATAAAATCAAAACAGAGCCTCGGGATGCAAACAAGACAAACATCTTATCAGATAAAAGTGTTCCCGATCGCATCGCAAACACTCAAATCACCCCTCCCCATGCTATGCCGCCGTTTGCTAGCCAAGCGCCTCGCTAAAACATCAGATTCAGCTCTATCTATATCTGTCGCAACTATGTCGACTACCACCGCTCCCACCCACAGATCGATGCCCTCCGCGTTAACGTTTGATCGTCACGCCAAATGCTCGGTACGTCCTTGTGATAAACATTTACAACCTAGCTACTGTAACATATATCTAATGCATATTATGGTGCAAATAGACAACTAAGGCCCGTGCGAGTACCCTTCACCTTCCTCACGGCTCAGTGCCTCTGCCGATCTTCATGCCCGTCGCGACACAAGCATCTCTTAAGGGCCTAACATATGATCAGCTGCGAGAGACCGGGTGCATGCTCTGCTTGAATAATACATACCACTTAGGTCTGAAGCCTGGCCAGGCGGTATTAGATGCAGTGGGCGGAGCGCATAAGCTACAAGGCTGGGATCGCAATCTCTTGACCGATAGCGGGGGGTGAGATATACTACCGTCCCCTCGCAAATCGATAGTATGTACTAACCGAATATATTGCTATTCAGTTTCCAGATGGTGTCACTTCTTCAGTTGGCGACTGTCACAGAGGAAGGAGTGCGATTCCTTAGCCCGCATGACGGCTCGCCAATGTAAGTGGCTTCGCTGTAAGCCCTATAACTGAACATCCGAAATACTGACTTTTTATCAGGTTACTGACTCCCGAACACTCAATTTCTCTCCAAAATTCCATCGGATCTGATATTATCATGCAATTGGACGATGTGATTGCAACCACTTCGCCAGATCATGCTCGTATTAAGGAGGCCATGGACCGTTCTGTGCGATGGCTAGATCGGTGCATTGCGGAGCATAAATATCCCGAGCGACAAAACCTCTTTTGTATCATCCAGGGTGGTCTGGATCTTGAATTACGAAAGCAGTGCTGTGAAGAGATGGTAGCACGAGATACTCCAGGAATCGCCATTGGAGGTCTATCTGGTGGTGAGGCAAAGGAGGAGTTCTGCAAAGTGTACGTGCCTCTACTTTCACCAAAAAGAAAGACCGAATGAACTGACCAACCAAAGAGTGCATACATGCACGGAAATGCTGCCCGAGCATAAACCCAGATACGTCATGGGCGTAGTATGTCTTACTGAATTGGTTCTTCTGCCTTAGCTAATGACAAAATTAGGGATACCCCGAAGATATTGTTGTGGCGGTGGCTCTCGGTGCAGATATGTTTGACTGTGTTTGGCCGACACGGACAGCGGTAAGACTCAATCAACCCTCCGGTTTGGTTCTTGCACTGATATTAATTAGCGCTTCGGTGATGCTATTGTCTCATCCGGAACCCTAAAACTAAGCCATAAATCGTTCGCCGATGACTTTGGTCCAGTTGAGGAGGGCTGCACCTGCACTTGCTGTCGTCCAACTGACCAAGGTGGTCTTGGGCTTACACGAGCATACATGCACCACATCACAGCCAAGGAGACCGTCGGCGCTCATCTGTAAGTGTGGACTGGCCACATTATCTTATTTCGGTTCTAATACTTCTACAGTTTGACCATCCATAATGTCCATTATATGTTGACCATGATGGGGAAAATTCGACAGGCCATAATTGATGACCAATACCCAGCTTTCCTTCGCAAATTTTTCTCCGATATCTATAGAGGCGATAAATCAAATTATCCGGAGTGGGCAGTAGGTGCTCTGCGGGGAGTTGGAGTGGACCTGTTGGCAGACTCATGACTGCATGGCCATTGATTTTGATCAAAAGAAAAGTGCTTTGAAGAAAGAAATGAGCTATTCACTTTATGCCATAGAAAAGCGTGTGTATCAATTCCAGGTGTCAAGTTGACTGAACGTGGAGCAGATTCCATCAAACTTTTACTAAAAATAAGACGTCGGTCCTCTACCCTAGTCCAAAACTATATCATTAGACATATATCCTAAAAGATGGCCGGATATATCTGTAGAAAGTATCATTTTCGAGGCTTCAGGGAAGAATATCGGTATTCCTTAAAGTCTCGTGTAGATACGCGTGTTGATTGGATACTTTCCTTTGAATAAGTTTGCACTATAAAAGACGAGATCGGCACGTGACCACGTGTCGCGGTCGACGCGATCCACCGATCTCCAAGATCCTCCATCGTCCACTTGATACAAGTCCGTCAAACATCAAGAGATCGCCTGATAGAACGTCTCTCGCTAATTTATTCTGCGCCATGACTCAAGACCAAGTTGCCGCAGTCCCCGCGGCATCCTCGCCGCCAT